CAAACGGACAAAGCCCTGGTGCAAGGTTTTTGGGATAAGTTTTTTTTTTCTTTCATCTCTTTTGAAAAAAAATGTATACAAAAACCCAACATGGTAGACATTCCAGCAAAAGTACAAAGAGAGGCTCCATTCCTCAAAGGAAACACGCTATGGGTTATTACCATGCTAGAAAAATGAAATGCAGCAAGAAAACCCTAGGACAAAAAAGGTTGACCACCAAACAGGTCTCTTGTTCTCTTTCAGCTGGTTAACAATAATACTGTGCAAAGTGGGAAACCAGGTTTGGATACAAATGCATTTACGATATGACTCACAAAAGGGTAGACATGGCCTGTTCTTGTGATGACAAAGTCAGGCACTTCTATAGGGGAAAACATGCCCAAATCTAATTAGGTTTTGAGAGCTGATCTACACATTACACTCGCCACACAGAAAGCAGCCCAACCCTGCTCATTTACTGAACGCTCTCTCCTGACAGGACCTGAAGTCATACAGAAGAAGGGGTAGCAATTGACTGGGCTTTTCCTTTGTTGTTTTCTCTGGCAGCAAACCTTCCTTAGCCGTTGGGATGGGAAGAAGCAGGGCAGATTAGCTCCAAGAGATAACAAAACAGAGCAACAGAAGGACAAGTCATCACTGGCAAGTTCCTTTCCCTTGTGGATACGACTTCAGGCTCTTAAATGTAGCATCAATAAAACAGGGCAATAGCTTTGCACTACCAGGCATAGCTAGCTCCACCCACCGTATTGTGCCACGGATTTTGACTGCTAGAAGTAGGACACCCTTCCAGCACATAGTTCTGGCAGAGACTGATGGATTTCCCACATCAAACCAGAGAGGCACAAGTTTCTCTAGTATTTCTAACTATGCTGCACCTAGATCCTGCCCCACACTTCAGCGCCATCTCTCATTGGTAGACAGGCACTCCCCTTAAAAAACGACACATCTCATTTTAGGAGGAAGCAACAATACTGCATCAAATTGTCTGGTGTATCACCAACTTTAAGCAGGCTCCTCTAGGCTCATTTTAAAGCCCCTGTTCTTTGTTCTAAGGAATCTTTCAGACTTCCGAAGAAGCAGGGCCAGCCAGCCTGCTTGTTGTGTGGTTCAGTGTGAATGTGAAGTTCAGATCTAATTTCCCTCTCGTGGTGTTGTGAATGATGTCATTTTCTATTAGCACCAGTGGAACTGAGTCACAAACTTGTTAACCTAAGGGCTCCTTTCTAGATGGTTCTATGAAGCTATAATGCAGTGATGAAACATTTACAACTCCTCCTATTACAAAACGCTAGGTGGAACCACAGTGACCAATTTGGGCCCTTTACGATGTACCTAGTGGGCAGAGATAATTTCATGTGTCACCAAAAGGTCACATATATTTGGTCCGAGGGTAAGTGCCACTTCCAAAGTTACCCATGTCTTTAAAATGCATGCATATGCCACAAAGGAAGGATTACACACATGTATATTTCACAGCGAAAATGCACATTTGGTAGAACTCGGGTAAGTGGCTGGGTGAACAAGTATGTGAAGTTTCCTACATGAAGTTTTCAATGCATCTATTGGAGACAACTCCTTAAGAAGTCTTTAAAAGTACACTCTGGGGCGGAATTCGGCTCATTTCAGACCATCGTTCTTTGGGCCATCGTAGCAGCCATACATCAATATTTTTTCAAAGTCCCCAACTTGTAGCACTATCAAAAAATCTATATAAAAATGCTAACAATACTGTGCTAATTGTATGCGTGTAAATAGCACAATAGCCCTCCTAGACCAATTCGCTAGGTTCTCGATGTTGCAACATCCTTCTTTAGCAGGTGTCTAACATTAACCCTGGCCTGTAAGCGGCAGCCCTCAAACCACTTGTTTGCACAGTCAGTGGCAGTGATCTTAAAAGAAAATGCACAAGATACGCGCGTGCGCAAAATAAGCACGTGGGTACCCAGGCTTCAAAGGGACCAGCTGTCCCCCACCCCCACCGGCCCTGCCATTTTTATAAGTACTAGTATTAAAAATTATACTTACAAAAGAAGCTGCCTGATTTAAGGGGTTGGGGGCTATGTGATCTTGTTTCTTTTTTTGAAAACCCCCTTAATCATCAGTCGAACCAACTGGTCTATTAAATGTCACAATGTTATTGTAAGGGGGACGTCAAAAGACTTTTCCTAATATTCAACTACAATGCTTCTTCTCTGAAAGCAATGGGGGAACAAGAGTCCCATGAATGAATGAATGAATGAATGAATGAATGAATGAATGAATGAATGAATGAATGAATGAATGAATGAATGAATGAATGAATGAATGAATGAATGAATGAATGAATGAATGAATGAATGAATGAATGAATGAATGAATGAATGAATGAATGAATGAAAATTTAAATGTGAAGGATGGAAGGCACCTGTGCGCTCAACGTCTCCAAAGGACTTTCCACTCTTGGAAATGCCATCAGGGGCACCCCTCGCTGCTCATCGGGCTTTGATTTAGAAGGAGCTCCACGTGTTCCTTTGAAGTTATGGACCACACACATTCCCTGTAGGATAGGGAGGAAAAGGAGACATCACTGGAGCTATCGTTGACGTCCTTGAACCAGCAACAGATAGCCACACCTCCTGCCGGCAGCTACAGAAGGGACTCTGTAAGGCATTTGGTGGAAATTAACTTGGCTTCTACAATTAAAAAATAACTTGACAAGACTGTCAGTCTCACATTCTGTCTTGGAAGCAACAGTCTCGAGTCCCTACAGTACTGACATATATTATGTACGTGGAAGGATTTACATCTTCTACAAGATCTCAGTGGCAGGACACATATCTCTGCATAGTATATAGGAAAAGCACCAATGTTTTGCATGGCTGGGATTGGCCCAGTATCAGTGCACGAACTGAACGGGGTTATAGGCCAGCACTGCAAACGGCCTCCATGTGGTAGCTGCTATCATGCAGGAAAGCTGCTCTAGTGGGACAGTTAGATGTGGCCACGGCATATTTCTCTACTGCCTGCAAGCTCTTAGAGGCACTATTTAAGGGTCAGTTTTAGCAAACCAAGTGGCAGGTATGACAGACCGTTTCTGTCCACTGAGGCTACCCACACAGCCTCCTATGGTATTGGGGGAACCAGGTTCTTGAACAGCGGTGGCGGCCATAACTTTTTAAAGAGCCACTGCATATCTTTCTACCGCCTGCAAGCTCTTAGAGGCACTATTTAAGGGTCAGTTTTAGCAAACCAAGTTGCAGGTATGACAGACCGTTTCCGTCCACTGAGGCTACCCACACAGCGTTCCCTTGCCTCCCTAAGCCCACCCCTTGGACTCGTAGGGCGAAATCGCCGCGTTCAAATAGAATGTTCGGACCTCGGTCTAACGGTATCATTTGACCCTGCCTGGGACTGCCGGGCTTCTATAGAAAAGGAGAGCTGAGCAGCGGCTGAAGTGGGGGACTCTCAGTTGCTATGGCGACAAAGGACAGACGGCCAATCATGCTTCATCCTCGAACTTCTCACGCTGCGGACTACTTTCCCAGTAAACTACAACTCCCATCAGCCCCAGCGATATTTTCAGGCAGTCTCTTCCTCTCCCACGAGACGGGGAAAGGGCCTTGGAAAGCTATTTGGGATTGCTTCTCCGTAGACGCAGTCTTATTGCGTAGGGAGGGTGGAGCTTGTTCTGCGCGCGTTCCAAGATGGCGGCTGCGACAGGCTTCCTCAGGGTTTGCAAGCAGAGGCTGAATTGGGGGGTTCCTGCGCGCAGGGCGTTCTGGGGGAACTGGAGGTAACATCCATTTGACAGGAAAGAAAATATATGTTCATTTAAAATGAGGGAGAAGAAATGGAGGAATGAGAGGGACGAGGAAGAAGCAATGGAGTTTGGGGGAGAGAAGCTCTTAGGAAGTGCAGGCTGCATTTGGCGTAGTGGTTAAGAGCGGCGGACTCTAGTTTGGAGAACCGGCTTTGATTCCCGCCTCCGCCTCCACATGCAGCTAGCTGGGTGACCGTGGGTCAGTCACAAGGTCTCTCAAGAGCAGTTCTGTCAGAGCTCTCTCAGCCCCACCTACTTCACAGGGTGTCTGTCGTGGGGAGACGAAGGGAAGGAGATTATAAAACCACTCTGAGTGAAGGGTGGGTCGGGTATAAAGCCAACTCTTCTTCATTTGTTTTCTGCTTTCTGTCTCTTTTGCACATCTGTTATTTTAATTGTTTTGCTGATTTCATGCAAGGTTTATCCTCAGAGGCGCCTTGTAGAGTAGGGTAGGCTGACAGGGAGTAGTCCCAGGTCATTTTGCAAGCTTTGGTTTCCCCGATTTAAGCAGAATGTTGTAACTACTTTGCCCCATGCTGCAGCAACACTTCTTTGGTCTAGTGCATTTTATCACGCCCACTATTGAAGGGTCCAAGGGCAGCACTCTTGGGTCTCCCCACCTCCATTTTATCCTGGTACCACTACCACCAAGGGTGGGGGTGGGGGGATTGGTCCAACCTCACACCTGAAGCATCTTGGTTATTCGGATTTGAACTTGGGTCTCCAGGGCTACTTTTTAGTTTCAGGAAGGGTTTGATTTTGGTATTATTTCTGTGAAAGTTAGGAACAGAGAGGTTAAGTCCGTTTCTTTTCATTGTGTTTTTTTAAAAGGATTAGTCTGTAACAGAGGCACTGTCACACTTGCATCTACTTACAAATTCAGGATTCTGTTACCCTCCGATGGCAGACTGATGGGGCTGTCAAAATGCAGCTCTTAATTGTCTAGAACTGTCTTACAATTTGTAAGACCCTCAGTATGGAAAGCACAAAGTGAGCAAACTTCCTTGTTCCTAGGTGTTTCAGAAAGAGCACTAAAGCAGTGTACAGCTTCATGTCTTCAGACCCGCCCCCCCCCAGTGAACATATAATTTGGTGTTTTGACAGTAGGAACATGCCATTCCCACAATAAATCTTATTTAAATAGTGATATTCATTAGTGTAATGCAGTGGCCTTGGATAATGGACTTAGGTGTAGGAGACCTTGGTTCAAATTTCTGCCCTGAGAAAATAAACTTGCTTAAAATCGACATCATGGCTGATGTGCAGATCAAATAGAGATTAGGATTTCATTGTAAGTTTCATGTTGATATAGAGCATGATATAAAGACAATTTAAATTATACAGATTTCTTTTGATTGACCTTTAACAGGAAAAAGCAGGAAGAACAGGAGGCAGTAGAACCAGCTGTTCCAATGGAAAAGGAACCAGTTCTGGTTTGCCCTCCACCACGGAGCAGAAAATATCTTCCACCTAAGGATCTCCAGAGTCGCTTAGAGGCTCATGTCAGAGAGATATTTGGATCCTCCGTTTCCAAGGACTGGCTACAGGTGTCTCTGGGAGAAAGCAAACTAAAGTATTGTTTGTTGGCACAGCTGGCTGAAGATCTGGGCCATGCTGTCCCTAATTCCCATCTCCATCAGATGAAGAGTTACAGGACGCCTGTGAAAGACGTCTCCAAGTTTGATGAACTAAGCACACAGGAGCTTCCCCCAAACTTGAGAATCCGCTGGCAGTATTGAGCCATTTTAGAGGGAAAGGAGGGTTTCTTCTAGAGGAATGCCTGAAAGCACCACTGAGAACTCTCATCTTTGCAAAAACTTCTTGCAGAATCTACCACCACTGGCAGGAGGCCTTGTTCTCCAGCATCAATACTTTGTGATTGGTGAGAGGAATAATTTGAGTACATTCCTACTTACAGGCTGGTCATTGTTGAATGGAAATGTTGGGAACTGCAATGAATTGCTGGGCATTAAATGAGTCTTGGCTTTGTTTTTGTTCTTTGTCCACTTTCTCTTTGTCCACTGTGATATGCTTGTATATCTGAAGGAGCCTGCAGTACAATTGCGGGAAACATATAAAAATGTTTCGTGGTAGCACTTGCTTAGTTAAAATCACATGATATATTGAATCTGCTGGATGCTGGCATCTTCAGAAAGAGGGAGGGGGAAAGGGCATGTTGTTTTTCCAGCATCTCTGTTTCAAGCAGTTCTCTGTGTCAAGGCCTGCTTGCATTGTGCTATATCGTCATGTGTAAGTTATTTGATATTTAATCAGAAAAGACAAAGATATTTTTCTGGCCCGAATTAGTAATGTACATTAAGAAAATAATGGAAATGGAAATGAAATTGTAGCAACCATTCTATGTAAGTGTAGTTACAGGGAGGGTAAGAAAGAGATACTGTTCAACAGGAAATGTTTCTGTATGGTTTTGGGAAACCATCTGTAATTGTGTGTGTGTTCAGGAGCTAATTTCCTTGAGATCATAAGGCCCAGTCCTTGTTTGTATCCATTTCATATGGGAAATGTGCATGATGGTAAAAGACATCCTAAGTTTTATTTGTATTGACCTTCGAAAACTATATCTTCATTGGAGCCTTGGGCTTTCTTTGAAGCTTGGATGGAGGTCAGTAGTTGTGTGCAGCATCCCTGAAAGACAGCCAGCCCACGGTTCATTCTCTTCCCCTTCAGAATACAGCCTTAGAGAAGTCTGTGTGTGTTTGGGGGGTACACCTGCAGAGAGAAGGGTGACCCTAGTGTGTTGCTCAAAACAAGTCTATGGACATTGGTTTTTGCCTTGCTTCATGATCTGTGCTGTTGGTGGAAAACAGAAAAGGTCTTTTTTCCTTTTCAATCCCATGTGCTGTTTTATTAACCTTTGTCATGTTTTTCCCTTGGTCATCTCTTCTCTAAAGTAGAAATCCCTGTCTCTTTAGCCTTTTCCTCTCATAAGGAAGATGTTCCAATCAGAACTGGACACAGCACTGCCAAATGCCACTATAGGTCTATATAAGGACATTATGTTACTAGATGTTCTCTCACAGTCCTTTTCCCAGTAACCACAATGTAACTTTGTCTTTTTAAAATAACTGCTGCACACTGTGTCAGTGTTTGTCTTGTGCTATGCACCGTGGCCCCAAGACCTCTTTCCTGAACAGTCATCACCAGTTGACCCCTTCCCTATTTGCATCCATTTAAAGTAATGAGAGGATAGGGAAGCAAACAGCAAATGCATAGGAATCACTCATGGCCGGTACTCATGAATTCATAAATGATCTGAAATTAGGAGTGAACAGTGGTGTGACCCTACTTGCAGATGACACCAAATTATCGAGAACAGTGAGAACCAGAGCGGAAGTGTGAAAAGGCCCAAAAGGTTTTCCCAAACGAGGCGAATGGACAACAATGTGGCAAATGAGGCTCAACGTAAGTGTAAAGCGATGCAGATGGAAGCAAAATTCTCCATTGTTGTTCAGCCACATTCTCATGCATAAGAGAGCCTGATCTCTTGCCCATGGCTGCTAAGTTTTCTTAGGAGCCTTCGGTGAGGAGCCATGACAAAGGCTTGTTGGAAATCCAGATACATGATGTCTGTCGGATCACCCTTGTCTGCATGTGTGTTAAACCTTAAACTCCAAAAGCTTTTGTGGGATGGGCTTCCCTTTATAGAGGTCTTGCTGATTCTTCTGTAGTAGGAATTTTGGTAGTCTGTTACATATGCTTCCTTGTTTCTCAGTCAGAAGATCAACCCTATCCTGAAGATTTAACTTTGTGTTCCCTCACAGTAGCTAACAGCATAGAATGATTAAGCTGTACTCAATAAGCATTCAAGCGTAAAGAAATATATGTGCTACGTCATTGCATTGGGGATGTTGCACATGATGTACCGCCCATCCTGGAACGCCCCCCCCCCCAACATGTACACCCCACTGCAATGGCAAGGGGACCTGGTAACCCTACCAACAATATATATAGTTACACCCTGTAATGATTTCATGTTTAACTGTGTGTGTGTGTGTCTTTAAAAGTTTGGTTGCATGGCTGTGTGAGAATCTAGAGTGGTTGAAACAGGCAAGTGGTGTGATTGGTGATTGGCAGAAAGGGGGAGGGGTTTTAGAAAATGTGTGTCAGTCAAGAGTTACAGTTTAGACAGTTAAAAAAAGACAGTTGTTAAGTTAAAGAGTTAGGTAGTTTGCTCTGAAGTCTGAGAGAGAAACAGTCTGTGTGTGATTAAGAGTTAAGAACAGCTGAGGTTGTTCTGAGAGAATAGTAAAAATGTAAATGAAAGTAATTGAAGACAAAGTTTAAGACAGGCTGTATGTCCTGGAGAGAAACAGTGAACTTACATGACCTTGAAGTAAAGTTACAAAGTTGAGGCCTGCTTGTTTCCAAGTAAGTATACTTAGAACAACAGCCTTTGTCAAAGATTGTGACACACCCTACTTATTAGAATGTTTTTATCCTACTTTCCTCACAGTCCATGGCTGCTCAGAGGTCCTAGTAACTAAGCTTTTTCATGGTCGATTCCTGGGTTTGGTTAGACAGACAAAGTCTGGGAGCTCCTACTCGTGCTAAGAGGCAACGTCAAAGGAAGGGCTTGGACTCGATGCTCTGCTTATTGGCCCTCCAGGGAGATTGGTTGGCCTCTGTGTGAAATAGGCTCTCCAGTTTGCCCTCGGCAGCAGGCAGTCTCCAGCCCCAGTGCTCCAGCTCCTGCCCTTGTTCTATGGAGCAGCAGGAGGGAAAAGGGAAAAGGGAGAGGGGAAA